GGGGGTTGGTATAGAGAGAATGCCATAATGTAGGGGCTATGATGAGGTGTGGCTGTGATATAGTAGGCGAGTCTCCCCGTGAATTGAGGGTGTAGCACTGGTGATTTTTGAGGAGGACAAAAGATAATTTTGAGTGAATTTAACGTATCGTTTGATTCTTGGAAGTTGGAAGCAGCTGTAAAATTGTATGCTTATTTTGGAAAGTAGTAAAGGAGAAAGGATGACATTGGTTTTAAATGGTTGAAGTAGCAAGTATTTTTATATGTATATGTTGCGACCTCTGGGAAGTAAATTTTTTCAATGGATGGGGAATTCTGATGGTAATTTTGGGGGAAGGAACCTAACAGATGTCATGGAAGAAATGTGACAATTTAGAACGAACATTTATCACGTCAATGATTTTGGGACAATGTGTACTTTAATTTGAAAAGAAATGAGAAGGAAGACATCACTTTAAAATGGGTGGATTCAGTATTTCTCTATATTATGTTTCACTAAAGGGAGCTCCAGCGATATATAGTCCCTGATCTTGAAACTAGACAAGCTAGTTTGCTGCGGTATGTATTTTCCTCCATTTCTCGTGCAATATTGATGGATTGGTTTTCAACTGCTGATTCCGCTGCACGTCCAAAAACTCTACATAGTTCGTTTTTAGAGGGCACATAGCATGAAGAGATTAACTGGACGCTTTCCAGCAAATGAGCATTTCAATTATGTGTGCTGTCATCGAACTTCACCTAGGTGCCCTTAAAGAGGAGCATTTCCCAGTGGACAATTTTCTTTTCATTGAATTGATTATTTTTTATGCCCAGTAACATGTAATGTGATGGCCTGTCTTAAAATAATTGAAATTGATACTTATCATATTAATAGAACAAATTGCCTATTGAATAGTATTTGCTCTTGCCACTTGTAATTTTATAACGAACACTTCAGAACTTTGGAATTGCCGGAGTTTTGTAATTAGAATTTAGATATTTAATGTGTCCTTTCCTCATCTACAGACATGCTGGAGAAGTTCGACTGATAATGCACTATTCTAATGCAAATGTAAGCTCATTTCTTCTTTCTTTTAATTTTTGAAAATCTTATTTCCCACTCAGAATTAGTTACCCAGCTTGAAACTGCTATTAAGTATATACTATTTGTTACTAATGAATATTTCTCCATCTGATATATTTTAGAAGCCAGCATTGAGCTATGCTCCTTCAGCTCCACCGTTTGGGGCCTCACCGGCACTTCAGGCCCATCCCTTCTCTGCACCACCATCAACCATTTCATACAATTCATCAGTAAATGGCTACTCGGCACCATCTCCATATCCTACATATCCTCCTACCTCAGCAGGATACCCTTCGCCTTATCATTCTCAGCTGGCTACTTATCAACCGTCTTACCCGCCAATTTCTGGATATCCCATATCACCATATCCGCCACCACCTCAGAACCTGCAGTATTACCCTCCAGGTAAAATCATTTTTATTTATCGCTTTGTTTAAATAATATACTCTGATCAAAAGACTTATTCTACTTACTTCTTCGTAGCAGCTTCATATCCACCACCACCATATCCTCCACCGCCCTACTGATGCTGGAATACTTCCGGTGAGGATAGAGCATCAATCAGTTAATGTTAGTTAACTAGTGCATTTCATATTAGACAAGCCTATTTTGTTTGGAAATTTTTATGTTGCTAAACTGTATTCTTTCATTGATTGAATGTTGTATATACCTTTGTAAGGCTTATGTTGTTTGTTGTTTAGATAATTTTGTTCGGTAAAACAGTTGCATGATGAAAGATGAAGGGGGATGATTATGCATGAGTGGATTTGTCACATGAGGTTGAATAATTGTAATTGTAACTCATAAGATGAATAGACCTTTCAACAGTTGCGTCCACTTTTGTTTGACTAAATACTATTTAACACCTTTGGCACTTGAGACTGCTTCCCTTTCGGTGTTCCACTTCCACTTTCATTATTTCTCAGTGGCCGCACCAGTTGGTGAACCAACTTATTGTATACTTGGATGTGACCTTTTTTCACAGTCATTCTTGTATCCACCAGACACTATTGGGGCAAGTGAATCTGCAGGATGGATGAGCTCGTTGGATTGATCGATGTGTTGTGGGTTCTAATAGCATGGCTCATACTGGGTTATACCTTGCCTAAAGTGTGTCTAACAATCCAATAATATCTTATATGAATAGTGCTACTTGTATATAAGTAGTTACACAATAAATTACATATAGACTAGGTGTTAAAAATAAAGTGGGGAAGAATTTTTATTTTTATTTTTGAAATTTTTATATTATTAGTATTATTATTTTTTGTTGAAGAAATTCTGACTCAATTATATCTTACAACATCAGGTGTATATAAATCATTCTATAAACCTCTTATGTACATGTATCCCAATGGATCCTATATTAGTCGTGAGCACGGGCGGACCCACATGGGGTCAAATGATCCCACAAAATTTTTGTTTTTTTTTTTTTTTTTTTTATAGAAAATAATTGTTTTAATCGTTTTATAATCTACTTTAATACATGCCAAATGAAGTTGAAATATTATATTCTTAATATAATTTCAAAGTTTTCATGAGCTAGTTTTTCGCTTCTTAATGGTATGCGAAACGATCAACCTTAGCAAAAGTAATGATATATCAAAGTAAGCCACTTCAAATTAGTATTTCGAAAAATTCGATAATATGCTAACTTTTAAAGTTTACCAATAATCGTATATTATCCGAATCCACAAATCGTCTGCGTCATCTAGAAGCTTGTTTCGAAAACTACATCGTAGTCATATCGAATGGTTCAAACGGATATTGAAAATAGTTAAACACGTGTCAAACATACGTACTAGAAAAGACGTTTAACTCGTTTTTTCTTTCAAAAAAATTCAATATTTCATTGACGTTTATTATTTTTATGCTATAAATTTTTCAATATAATTTAAATCATTTTATTGGGAAATTTTACATGGAATATGACGTTAAAAATTTTAAAATCGTTATGAATTAAATGTAATTTGAATTACTTTCAAATTATTTTTTCATTAAAATTAAATTTCATTTACTTCATAAATTAAATGTGCATTTTATTTCAATTCATTTATTTTCTACATCTAATTTGATATATTCACCATTAACTCAACATCTCAAAATGTCATGATAAACAAAATTATACATGTAGCAAAATTCATTTGACACCATGATAATGATATAATTATAAGACATTTTCAAGGGGTCAAAATGCGTATTAACTTATTTTCATTAATATTATATTATTTTGAAAAATTACACATTAATTTTTGACCCCGCAACCTAAAAAGGCTGGGTCTACCCCTAGTCGTGAGACATGCTTTGTGGACTTGTAAACACTCTTTATAGGTTGATTTTAAAGGCGAGTTCTATTCAAAGCATTTGTTAGAGTTTGCTGGATCGTTGGGCTGAGTGACGACATTAGGGTAAAATTTAACACAAACACAATTAAACGTCTTGTGTAGACTTGAAGCATTCTCAAGGTGTGATCCATTTACATCCATTGAATTGAATGCTAATAAATTTGTTTATTTTTGCTTGAAATATTTGATGTAATGCAGCAATTGTAGACAAGAATGGGAAAGTGGATGAGAAATGATTTTGAGAATCTGAGAATGTCTTCTACACAGGTAACCTAACGTTGAACTCAAAATAGAGATTGTGGGCCGCTTTTGACTTTAATAAGAATCATTAAAGGACTGTTACTAGCGTTGTAATTAGGTGGTTAATTATGGATTTAACTGGTAACAACTGTGTTTTAACTTTTAATGCTATATAATGATTAAGTCCTTTAGTTGGATGAGTTGACTGTGAAATATATAAAGGAGCCAAAATCGCAAATTAACTTACTAGTGGATTAATCTACACGGTTCAGTTACCCATTGACCAACGTCCAAGATATAGTTTGTAAATCAAAAGGTTCTTATTTGTCAAGTATTCAGTATACCAAATTCAAGGTATCTGTCTGGGCTTCATTGAAAAATATGTAAGTGGCATAGCTACATAGCCTGATGATGATCGTCAATCTAGATTAGTAACATCCTTGAATTTTTAGGTATATTTTTGAATAATGTTATTCATTAGTACCGTTTACATTTAAGTAGTGATGTGATATTTAGATAGTTAAGATAACAAATTAATTAACGTTAGTGTTACTAAGGCAACTCATTTAAACATGTGAATTTAGATCTCCACGTGACTGGAATCATCAATATAGACGTTAAAATCACGCGCAACTCTCACACAACTTATAGCTAGAGGGTAAAATCATCAATCTACTAATAATTCATCTTCGATTCAACTGAAAAACGTGTACAATTTGATGTCAAAATTGATTGTTTTCATCTCATATAGTTTCAATTTTACAGGCTTACTGCTAGACATTAGGAATCGACAACTCCACTACCTAAAAGGTTAGACAACATCCCTAATTCACCCTTTCTAAATGTCCGGCCAAAAGAAACCACTTTTACCAAAGTCCAATTGTCCCATAAAAGTTTATGTACCTTGTCTTTAACCAAGTAAAACCAGTCCATTATTGACCACAACTCATACTTTTTACGTAAGAAGAAGACTCATTTCTTGTTCTTGCTTGGATTTTGTTTTGTGGGTAATTAAACCACTCGAGATGATATGTTTTTATCAATAATGAATAAATACAGTACAAACTTGTATAATAAAAAAATTTACCTCATTCAGAGACTAGGAGAACAACGTAAAAATTTAAAAGCTACATTTCATGCGATCTAGTCATACTTATCGTGACCATACTAGAGTGTAGTGCATTTCCGTTTCATGGAACATTTTAGACTCACCATCTGAAGGGAATATGGTATATTAAAAGTGTTATGCTACACGTATATTATAATATTCATAAGGGTGTCCATAATGTAAAAGTGACATAACATCATTGGAGGTTTGAAAAATATTTTTTTCAACCCTCCAATCATGAAATTCCACATATAAATTATGGATATCATAATTTACATGTAAAATTATCCATAATAAAATCATGGAACTTTAACATTGAGAAGTCCAGGTTTTTCATATTCAAGATATATCGAAAAAGGTTTATCATGCGCCAATATCCAATCTCATATTACCAAAACTATTATCAATTAATTGTGCATTTACTCCAATAATGTCCTAAAACCACCATCTACGTGTTGCACAGATACACAAGGTTCAACCCCTGTTTGGTCTCATTTTTGTGGTAATAAAAATGGTTGGAATAGTGTTTTTTTTTTTTTTTTT